CACTAATAACACTTCCCTTACTCTTTCAAAACTGATGTGTCGGTTTATACTAGGCTGACAAAGGTTTCAATGGGAAGAAGCAATATAATGTTACAGAAAAATAAACTTTATCCCACATAGAGTTATAAGTATATAAATATAAAGAGACAAACTTTATATACACACAAGGTACAAGAGTATCTGGGTTAAGCAAAAAAAGCAAGTGCAAGCAACTGACAGAGAAGTCCATTGAAATCCTTTTTATACACAAAATATCTTTACTGGAAATTCTAAACACTTTGGATATCTAAATAGTTAGGTGTTCAATTCTAAAAACAGGTAGGGATCTCTATCAACAGGTAGAACATAAAGGTATCACAAGGGTCATCTAAGCATCTCATCATTCAGAATGATGGTTGGAAAAAGTGTCCAAATACTCAACCCATATTCCATACTTTAAAATTTTCTTATCCACAGTGCTTCCCATAAATAAATGAGATACCTGTTTATATGATCTACCTAATGTAAGTCATTTCGTCTCCAAATTTTCTTTAATTTTAAAACAGTACTTCAGTTGAAATACTTGTGTTTTCTTTAAAACTCCAAAATGATTGCCCACTCCCTTGTTACGTAAGAGCAGCTCTTTTGGTTAACTGGACTTGTTTCATTTTCTAGTTTAATTTTGTATCTTACTACCCCCCACACACAAATTGGCAACCCAAAGTAATGTTAGGTAATCAACTACAGTTTGTGAAAAATTTTATTATAGAAGATATTTCTTTTCTTTTTCACCTTTTGTTCTCTGATAATGAGATCATTTCTTATATATTTAAAGTATTATAACAAACAGTTGAGTAAAAAACAGTGGCTTTGGCTTAGGAATGCAAAACAGAAAGAGAAAAGTTTTCTTAGGAATTATATGTAAGGAAGAATTATAATGATTTCTCAAGGATGTTCATGATCTGATTAAAATATTAGCCATTCTGTGATTTTTCCAACACAACTGTATTGATGAGATTCCCTCCTCAACTGTAAATTGCTATACAGAGAAGAATGAAACCAAAAAACCCTCCAGAAAACAAAAAAAAAAGACAAAAACAAAAACAAAAAACTCAAGAACTTGAAAAAAATGATTGGAAATATTTGCCTAGGTTGTTTCTTTCCATTTTTTCCTCAAAAAAAGCAACTGTATTTTTATTAATACTGACTAAAAATAAACTTTAGGATTTTTTTAAGAAATAAAAATAAGGTTAGTGAATAAATCCCATGCCTTATATTTGGTTGTCAGAATGAACTGAAGTTTTAAAGTGTCTTTCCACTTGTTATTTATTTTAAAACAATTCTTTTATTTGCCTTATCCTCTTTGCCTTTATTGTAATTACTATGTGGGCAAAAAGAAAAATGTTTCAAAATAGGAGCTTAAAATTACATTACTATGCGCTGTACCACTTTAGATGTTTTAAAAATATTTACTAAGCCGTGAAAATCAGCATATTTTCCAGAAAGTCTTTCCCAAATCAAAATAAATCTGCAGTGTTTCTGCAGGCTCAAATTTCAGCTCAGTGTGTACCTGCTACAGAGATAAAGTAATTTTTGCAAGTGTTTCTATATGTACATGTCAAGTTTTCATAATATCCAAGAAATTCAATATATGAGAACATTTTTAGCTTTTGTCATAAGTAAAATTCTCAGTAGTTCTAATACTTACCCAAAGTTAGACATCCGACTCTTAACAGATTTATGTGAAAATATGAATTCTGTGGCCAGCAGAATAACGTAATAATGACCAGGGTAATCCACACTTAATTTCAAATGGTACATTTTTTAATCTTTTTTACTCTCTCTGTTGGAAAAAGGTTGGCCTGTACTAAGAATGACCGCTTCCAGGCAAAAATTGTAAAGAGGGAAAAATTAAGTTGTATGTTTCCTCTATCTTCTTTCTCTTTTAATTCTAATTCCACTCTGCTCTCCTGCTAATTTTCAGCATCTTTTCCTTAGGCATTAAGTATTCCAACTCCAGTTTCCTCCCTTCCCTTCATTCTTTCTCTTTTATTTCATCACTCTTTGTCATTGTGCTTTTTCCATTTACTAGAAAGTTTCTCTCAGATAATCCAATCAATCAGTCTGCTTAAGGTGTTTAAAATGTCATCTTGAATAGCATATTAAACATACCATTTATTGACATACAATGAAATACTGTACTTATTATAAAAGTTGGAATTTTAGAGGGCTTAAATATTGAAGAGTATGATTACCCTGTCCCCAAATTAGCTAAAAATATAATTTAATTTTTGAAGCAGGACAGAACGTACATGCATGCCTAAATTAATTTCTTTCAAAGATTTATGGTTGTAAAATTTTAAGGATGTTAATGAAGCTGGCGGTTTAGGGGGTTGATTTTTTGGATTAGCTGTTTGTTCATATGCTTTAAATTAGCTTGGTTTGCTACTGCCTTGGTGCTAAGCAATTTACATATATTTAAATCTTGCAACAATCCAGTGAAGTAAGGATTATCAACCTCAGTCTCAGTCACAGGGTAGGGAAATTAGTAAATTTTCCTAGTTTTCCACCTAGTAAGGGGTAGTACTGGGATTCAATGGTTAATGATTTTAAGCTTTTCATATGTTTAGTTATTAGTTCACAAGCTTTTAGTGTAAAAAAGGTCCTGGCTTGTATTTGACTATTTTGTAGCTCCCTATCTGGCTCTAGTAGAAGTTTCTAGTCATTTTGTGCACTCTAGTTCTATGTGTATACTATGCTCCTCATCTGTGCTGGACTTAACCTTCTTCACTCATGCTCTTCCCTTTGCTTGAAATGGAACTTATATTAACAATATTTTTCATACAATAACTTAAAACAAGACAGTACTGCAGGGTCCAAAGACAATGGTTTTATCCAGCAGTGTCGGGGGTGGGGGTCTCACACAATCTTTTAATTAACCCTTTTGTTTCTAAGCCTTTAACCTTCATTCTGAACCTTCAGAGGAAACCGGGGTCTCCAAATCCTAAGACATTTCAGGTTTCTGATGAGGAAATCCATTTGCTCCTCTAACAGTAGTTAAATTCAGCTCCCCTCTCCCCCTTAAGTCATATACCACAAATTCATTTTCTTTCCATTCTCTCATTGGGTTTCTTGTCCTCTCCTGTTCTCTTTGTTCTTGTAGAATTTTTACCACCACCACCCCACTTTGATTCTTTTTCTTCTAGTAGAAGAGGAATGGATGTGAGTACTCAACTTGTCATATTTTATTGGAAGTCTAAAATCTTTCTTCCTTTTAATATAAAAATAATTAGCTTGGTGTGAAAATCATGGACCTTGGAATCAGATGCCCCACCTTAATCAAGTCGGGGCACAGAAAGAAAATGATAATCTTTGTACAGTAATTTATAGAGTCTGTTGGGGTGAGTGGCAGGTGGAATGGGCTGTCCTGGAGGAGCCTGTGCACCTTGAATTACAGGTGTGCCAGGATACAGCGCCTCAAGGCGGTCGACATGGGACTTATAGCTCCCACTTCTTCGTATTCCTTTAGGAATCACAGGAGCTAACATATTCAAAAGTGCCAGCACAATGTGGACACGCAGTAGGAACCTTTAAGTGTCTGCTTGCCCCCTTCATATTCCCCCAACAAATCACAACCTGCATACATATTCCTTAAGCAAACGACTGAGATGGACATCACTGTAATACAGCAAGGGCTGATTTGAGTTCACAGGATCTTGTAGAGCAGACAGCAGCCTTAACACAACTAGGCAGAGGAAAGGAGGGGGCCAGGAGGTTAAAATGGTTGCATGGTAACTTTCTCTGGATTCAAGTAGTGGCAAGTGCCTTTTGCTCTTGGAAATCATTTGAGGCAAGGCCTTTGGAAGAGGGTAAGCTGCAGTTGTTAGGGAAAAGTCTAGGGCTTTCTTCCTCAGTTGAAAGGGAAGAGCTGAGGTGATTATTTTAAGAAATGTTCTTTGTTTTGCATTAGATTTGTCTCTGTTCTGTTTAATCTTTATCGCCACATTATTTATTTTTTCCTGTAGAAAAATCTGTTTACAGCTTCTCAAGTTTACAGTCCTTCCTAGGGTTGGGGCGTTATTCTCTCTCACTTCAGATTTGGGAACAGACATCCTTACATTTAAAACTACAAATACTGTCACGCCAAGCAGAATGTATTTGGCATAATATAAGACAAAGGGGATCACATCTGAATTTCACTAACAGGTAAAACAGCAGTGAAGGAGTCTGAAGAATGTTAAACTCAGTAATTTCTACCGCCTTTCTCTCTGAATTTTCCTCAGCTTTCTCTTTTTCTCTTTTGATTCTTTTCATCTTTTCTTAGCTCTGCCTTTTTGGCATAAAAAAAAAATTTTTTTTTGTCTCATCAAAAAATGGGCCAAAGACACTCCAAATTGCAAGGGAGGAAAAACAAGTTGTTCTGTTTTCTGCTTAGATCCTGCGGGGAGTCCAGTGAGCAGGTGAATCCTGGTCCCCGTGGGGCTACCTTCCCCACAGGGCCTGCCAATCACCCCCACGAAGCACTTCCCAATTCGGCTGGGCCACCTCCCTCCACTCCTCCTCCTCTCAGCTCTCAGGAAATCCTGGAGCAGTCCCTGCCCTGCCCTGGAGTCGCTTTTTTTTTTTAAATAACCAGTGATTGAATTTGTTTTCAAAAGAAATAAACACATAAAACGTGACACCTGTGGGGCCTCGGCCGCAAAGCCCAGCGGGACCGACTCCCGCCGCCCGCCCTTCTCCCCCGCCCGCTGTCCACAGACCCTCCGTGAGAAGCCGCGCGCAACTTCTGTGTCGGAAAACGAGAGTGACTGGGTCCGTCGGCCTCACCTTGGGGGTACCTGAGTGTCGGCGCGGGGAGGGCGCTCTTCCCGGCGGAGCCGCGGAGCCG